GGTCCTTGAATTTGTGAAAAACAGTTGCATTCTAGGCTGTTGAAAAAATGTTCATTTTTTCCAAACTAGCTTTATTTCTTACAGTATATAACTATGCTGTATATAAGCTGGTGTCCCTCCAAAACAGCCTGTAAGCTCCACATGACCATCTAAGGCAGAGGGAAGTTAAAAAAATAAAATATTAGACCACAGGGAAAACAATGCCTGTTGTGTTCCATCCCTATGCGGCATTACAACTGATAAATATTTTTAAAAATTAAAAACAGTCTTAGAATTACCACAGTATTTTACTAAACATATACATATTATTGCTTTATTGAAATGAAGCTTTGATGTTAGATGTTCATCTGCTAACTTGGGTTTAATAAGACTTCTTCTACATAATCTCTTTCATAGTAGATTCTCATTATGTTTTGACGTAGTACAATTTATGCTACTTTTTATAAAGCTTCCTTTACTAACAGCTGCACCAAATGCTAGATGGTTTCTCCCAACTTTTTAAAAAAATTAAATTTATCACTTACTTAGTAGAAGACACAGGAAGTATTGTAACAGCTCATACGTTAGCTCTTATTCTTATCACAATTGATGTTGTGAATTGGCACACAATATTGTTTGTCACCGTAACGTGACAAAGCAGATTACTGCAGTGGCTGAGCAACTAGTTGGTTTACTATTAAATGGGTTTATCATTAGTTGCAAAAGTATACAGATTCTTCAGATGTGAACTCACTTTAACACCAGAATATCTATGGTGCAAACTGAGATGAAAATAATAAAGTTCAGTTATTAATTGGCGAACACTAAGAGCCAACAGCTCTTCCGTTCCTACAAGCCGGGTAGGCATTGTTAATGTTCCAGCAGGAGAAACCAAGACCACACTGTGCAGAAATTACAGTGGCACAAACTCAGACATATTTAAGGGCCCCATCCTCCAGTTATTTTAAAATGGGGGTGGGGGGGGCAGCATTCCCCCCACTGGACCCATATTGAGTACCTAAGGAAAAAAAATATTGCCAATTCTATCAACAAAACCAGTCAACCAGTACCAGCTGGCAGTTGCTGCACATTTACTGTAGTCTAACTAGAGATTAATCGGATCACAGGTATCAGGGCTGCCTGGACTATGTTACTGCTCAGAGATGTTAATGCTGATACTGACTTTGGTCAATTTTGTATTTGGAAGTGTGTAACCTTAATACTGAAAATGTTTCATGTGTTTTTCTTAACATTTCTCTTGATTTTGATATCGATGGTTTAAAAAATCTTATATAAAATGTGTTTTGCATTTCTTTTGTGCATTAGTACTATATATAAGAAAAACACAGACTAGAGAAACTAATCTGGCAAAGATAATAATACATACCACTTTTGATAGGGATGAATTGACCACATATTTGGTATAAGGTCTGAAAATGCAGTCCTTGACAAAACACATTTAGGCAAAGCTCCTATCATTTAAAATCAATAACAATTTCACCATAGTAAATCCAAAATGCCTTTACTGAAATATTCATGCAACAACTGAAGTTTGCATGACAATATTCTTAACTGGAACATGCTGAAAAGAGTACTGGTCTAAAAACCTAAGTAAAAATAATATGTTTGCTTAGAAAACATGACTTACGCTGAATAAGGCTTACATTAAATAAATTCAGGATTTGGGGATTTTTGTTTATTCTGAGGCTATTTGTCATGGCTACTAGAATTCATAAGTCAAGTAATAAAGGGAACCTTTGAAAATCCAAGGGAAAATTCATCATATTTGAGAATTGCCAAGGATAACATAAATATGTTGAACCCAATTTAGTCGGTTCATACCTTTTGTTTCAGCTTGTCTTCCAATTTTCTATGCTTTGAGGAAATAGTGCCACCTCATGGATGTATTAAATAAGAAAAGCTCTTCATGTATCAGTTTACCAAGGGGAACCACTGTACCAACTCTAAAGAGAATTAAAATCCATTCATTTTCCAAAAATGTTGTGCCAAAAACAAAAATATTTATTTTTCTTAATAATAATTAAACCCTCTCCTCTTTTGTTTTTAGTGAAAAAGGGTATTTATATGTAGCAAGAAAAGCTTATTTATCTAGAGGACCGCAAGAAAACAACTATTTTTTCTGATTCTGAAAATAATTCAGGAAATTCTTTACATTTCATAGTTTTCAAAAAAACTTCAAAAAGTATATTTAAAATATCCAGAGTCTGCAAGAATGAAAAAGAAAATAATACTTTTTCAGGACAAAGAAACAATATCTTAACTCCTTTTCACTCAGAAAGGCTACGTACCCTGAGACATGATATTTTCTGAGTGCGTCTAAACATAGTTGTCCTCTGGGTGCATTTTAAGAATATACTGATCTGATTATCTCAAGGAATATCTCATGTAATATTGGAAATTTGATAATATTTTGCTGTAGGATAACGCTTGGTAGGAGAATCATATCTGAAAGGATTGTTTTAAGTGAGGTTATATCCTTATTAAATCTGATGAAACTGTTGCTTAGCGACAAATCTGAGTCAGAGCTATGTCTGCAGGAAAAGTCTGTTTCTGTCAAAGCTATATGAGAGTCCCACCTCTAGATACACAATAATTTTATCTTAAGAATGTGCTCCTAGCAAACAATTTCAAGTGGGAAATGTAAGCTATTGTGGAAGGAGTATTTTATTATTGGTACTTTTAACACTTTTGCTTCTTCTTGTCTCAAAGAGAGGCTTCTTTGAACAAGTTATATACACTACATGTCACAAATCTCAAAGCTAGAAAAGCTAGAGCTGGAAGAGAACTCTACATTAACAGTACAAGCCAGATCGGGGAGTTGTGCCAGTGTTCAAGCTGCAAAGGAACAAGTAAAGGTTAATACAATGCTAAAATGTAGAAAAAAACAATGACAATGTTTAGACTTTAGAGTCTTCTTCAGATGTGTACAGGAAAGAGTGTGAAAAACAAATATGTGAGGTAGGGCAAATGAAAAAGAGGTTAGAATTGGTAGGGGGTACGAGTGTAAACTTCATAAACTGTACAATTTAGTTGACACTAGTCATTTTGAGGAAATACTGAAAGGTGGTGAAGGACCGAGAGTAAATTATGATTTTTGTGAGAAATTAATTCCACAACAAGTAATAATAATAATAATAATAATAATAATTGCTTACATTTATATAGCGCTCTTCTGGACACTCCACTCAAAGCGCTTTACAGATAATGGGGACTCCCCTCCACCACCACCAATGTGCAGCATCCACCTGGATGATGCG